TAATGGTGTTGAAATGAGTGTTAAATTGGTTCGATCAAGAGAGAGTTTTAATTTAATTGTTGGATCAAACGATGTAAAGTTTAAAGTTTGTATTACGGACGCAACTCTTATTGTTCGACGAGCACGAATTAATCCAAGTGTATTACTCGCACATCAAAAAGTTTTAGCTTCTACCACTGCTAAATATCCTATTACTCGAGCTGAAGTAAAAGTTTTAACAATTCCTTCGGGTGTTCAAGGAAAAACTCTTGATAATATATTTTTAGGACAGGTACCGAAAAGATGTATAATTGGATTTGTGAACAATTCTGCATTTAATGGTTCCCTTACTAAAAATCCATTTAACTTTGAAAACTATGGTATTAATTCTTTCAGCTTATATATTGATGGTCAACAAATACCTTCAAAAGCTTTGCAACCATCTTTTAATAATAGCATATTTACATCAGCATATCATACTCTATTCTCGGGAACTGGTATTCACTTTCTTTATGAAGGAAATGGAATCTCTTGTGAACAGTATGGCAAAGGTTACTGTCTATTAGCATTTGACTTAACTCCTGATTTATCAGCTAACTCATCAACTCATTGGAATCTCATAAAGCATGGTAGTGTAAGAATAGAAGTACGATTTGAATCCTCATTAATACAAACAATTAACTGTATAGTTTATGCTGAGTTTGATAATATTATTGAGATAGATAAAAACAGAAATGTTACTGTAGACTATAGTAGTTAAGGTTATAATATGTGTTGTGTGTTAGATTTTATGTGTTATGTGTAATGCATTTTGTGTGTATGTAACTATGTGAAACGTTATAAAATTAAATAAAACAAATTGTATGCAATATATTTTCTTTATTTCTTTATAAATCTTCTATTTAATCTAATACAAAACACTGTTCGAGTTGAAATTTTACATAAGCACACTGACTAAACCACTGAACATGCTGCTGCCAAGGATCATCATCATCTTCCCAATCTTTTAAACCACCACCACAATGGAAACACTTGGTCCCGTCTGCATGGCCAGTATAAAAGAAACCAGCTTCTGCAAGATCTTCAGGTTTCTGTCGCATAACTAGAGGCCAGTTTTCGAAACTAAGCAAACGGCTAGATTTTGAACTGAAGAATGGATATTCAGCTCTTGAGTACTGCATACTCTTCTCGTTTTCTTCTCCACTCAGTGTTGTAGTTTTGTTATTCAATGATGTGTTTTGTACACGTACACATTCACTAATGATCAGCTAATGACTGTCATTGTTAAAAAAGTATTTTTTAACTTTTTCACTTTCTGCTATTGTCTTTGTTATATTGTATACGAGGGCGTTTGTGTTGTCGTAGATGCTATCCTTATTAGTCTTTACGTAATATTTAATTCTAGTGGAAGCATGTTTCCAATGATCAGTAGTTGGAATCTTGGATAGCTTCTTCATATCGTACATTTCAATTTTGATGAGATGCGTCGCTTGGTCTCCGTCGTCAGAATTAGTAGAAATGTATGATACACCATCTCTAGCGGCTCGTGCTACGGTTGATGATAACAGCTTCCTCTTTTTTATTTTTGATTCAGCTTCAAAAAAATGATCAATCGATTGCGATTTTCTTTTTCCACCATCGCATGTGTTATTATTAATGACGAGGTTATCACTCTCTTCTTGAGGGGAGAGTGGCGAGTAGTAATACTGTTTATAGGTATCTTCATCGAAGCTCAATGATTTCTGCAACAACACAGTTATCATGTTAATATCAATTTGTTAACACTTAATCATAAAAGTTAAAAAAGTTAAAGTTACAGCCTATTAAAGTCCACTGCTGAACATAGGCCTCCTCTCATTTCTGAGAGGGTTTTAGAGCAAGGAAATGTCCGCCGCGCTCCCTCAATGTGTGTTGGCGAACTTCACATGCCTTCGAAATTTTCTCAGACATGCAGGTTTCCTCACGATGTTTTCCTTCACCACCAAGCACGTGGTAATAAGCACTTAAAATTGCTATTAACAATTTAATTGGTGCTGGCGGGGATCGAACCCGGGTCGCGTACTGTGAAATTTACAGCTAGCGCTAACCATCTGAGTTACCACGGCTTAATCATATACATACACAATATTTAAATAAAATAATACACACACATGAAAATAACAGAAAAAAAGTAATTTAGTCAATAGAATAAACACTTACATCCATAGCCTTTGGTGTATTGAAGTAACACAAATGTACTATTGATAGATCCACTGTAGCCAAACGACCGTACACTAACTCGATGACTGCATTTGTTGGTCTTATATACCACCAGTACGTAAAAATTCTAATCTAAAGTATTTCCGTAATGAGTTGATAATTACTTTATGCGTCAACCAGTTTATCTCACATTTCCGTTGCCTATCTCAACATTTCTTCGTATTGTGTTTTGTTTGGTGATCAATGACTCAAGTACGATTTGTATAACACAAAAATGCAATTTAATATTTAGAAACATATCAGTTTATCTCACATTTCCGTTGCCTATCTCAACATTTCTTCGTATTGTGTTTTGTTTGGTGATCAATGACTCAAGTACGATTTGTATATCACAAAAATGCAATTTAATATGTAGAAATCACTATAATTGACCATTCCTATGTTATTCATTGAGTAGCTAGGTACTGTAATAATCTACTAATAGCAGTAATATCATGGATACACTAGATGTACAACAACATCTGAAAAAGATTCACCCCAGTCTAGAAAATAATGTTTATGCAGCTAATAGATTGCCTATGTATACCCACGTACCAACGTATATAATATGTAATTTGGATACAGATGATAAACCAGGGTCACATTGGGTAGCTTTATATATCGATACGAATGACGTCGGTCAATATTTTGATTCATATGGACGATCACCTGTACGATATCATCTAGAGTTTTTAAAAAGGAATTGTAAAAGATGGAACTGGAATGTTGATAGGATTCAGAATGAGTGGACTTCAGTTTGTGGCGAATATTGCTTAATGTATTTACTATATAAGTTTCAAGGATGTTCAATACATAGTTTTACGAGTATATTTACAAGGAACACATTGTACAACGATATTTTTACAAAATTATGTAATGTGTTTTATTGATGATTCAGATTAGCGTTGTATAAACAAAGAATTATAATAAACAATAGCACTGATATAGTCGACGCACACGCTGCAATGAAGGTGATAAAGGAACAATAGAAATAGGAACAATGGGACGCTAATGACGGTGGAGGCCCTTACCGGATATCAATTAGATATTAGCTAATTGATCTACACATCTCCGGAACCGTGCATTCTACACAAAAATGGACCGCGGATTCGTGATCAGAGCATGCCAAAACCTTTTTTTTTTTTTTTTTTTTAGGATCGGGCGTCGACGAACGTCGTTGAACCACGTCTGACTCAGGTGGTCTAGAAGTGGTACAACTACACTACTAATGTGTAAGATTATAAATTTCCGGGGGCTGGGGGAGCGTTATAATGAGGGCTAATAATTTTCTGGTCACTAGATGTCGCTAGTTGACACTTTTTTGTTACACAGTGTAATTTAATTGAGAAGTTAGTTTTTAAAAAAAGTTTCTACAGTAGTATACACAAAACAATGCCTCAGTGGTATGCTTTTTAAATTTTTGCACATTTTAACTTTTTGAATTTTTTTTTACTTTTATGAATATCTATGGTTTGGTTTATTTATTTTTAATCTTATTAATATAAAATATAGCTAATAGTACAGGAAGAATTTAACCTTATTTAACATTAACCTTAACTTTTGACGAACAAATTACCTTCCCCGCTATGAAACCTAGCAAATAATATACCTTACTTTTAAGTGGCGCCACCCTGGTGGCAGAAAAAGTCGTGGATGCATTGCCTACAGGTCTGGAATAATCTCGCCTTAATTAGGAATCTACATGGAACGGAACTAATTTTGATAATATTAGTATATATACGAGTATAGCAGCACAACGAATCAATTTGTGCCTCAATAATTAACAATATTTGTATAAGCAGTGTTGCGTAAGCGCTACGCTGTAGTCCGTGCAAATAAACACAAAGCAAGAAAACGTACGTAAACACGTGAAGACAAAGGCCCGCCTTGTGTGAACTATTAACACCTGCCTTGAACTGACAATAGGGCAAAGCGGTAGCGACACGTACAAACAACTTCATCAGTTCATCACGTGTGGAATTCGTAATGGTTCGTTAATAAAAGACAACTTACAGACAATGAGCGGAAACTATAACGGAAGGGCCGAAGGGATATATGAATAATGTATTAACCCCGGTCACCTTTTGGCGAACCCGTTTGGAAAGTAAACTATTTTTTAATTTGTCAACAATAATCTGTCCAACAAAACTTAATAAAATAGCTATTTTTAAGTTTCGGGAAATTATGTTAATTGAATACGCGAAAGTTTGTAGACTTTATGGTTGTTCTTGTCTATACCCGCTTATGTTGACAACATTTATTTTTCCAACTGTTTACAACTCAACAAAAGTTACCAACATTTGTTTCCGATGTTGCCGACAAATGTTTCCGACAAGCGTCTCCACCGAGGGAACAAATGTTTGCAACAAGCGTATTCCTTTGATGTTACCGCCGAAAATGGAAACACGGTCCCCGACATTGTTTCAAGTTTTGTTGCCAATACTAGGTAATTACAAAAACATGTTACCAACACGTGTTGGCAAGACAACAGTTGGTAACAAAACTTTGGTGGAGACGCGGCTTATGATTCAAATTCCATGCATCAATCCATTACAGCCTATCGACTGTTGGATATAAGCCTCCCCCATAGATTGTCTCATTTTGCCATAGTTGCCACGCTTTGCAAGCGGATTGGCGACCGCAGTTTTTTGTAATTTTGAGTTGTTATCAGGAACATGCTGCTGCCCATCTCCTGTTTCAGTTTCCCTTTGTCGCATCTTACGACATGCGATATTCTTATACCGCCACTACACGGCTACTCAACACAGCATGACTCAACTTACCATTCCTTATTGTCCATGAGATTGCGTGTCTCATCGTCGGGAGCGGGCGGCGCGTCACGGACCGGTGCATATTGTGCTGCTACCAAGGGATCGGTGGACGGGTTTAGTGCCGTCAAACCCGCAGCGCCACTTGATGGAGCTTCTTTACCGCCACCCCATCTAGCTGACCACGCCCAGCCGCCGATACCTGCCGATATTTATATTTATTTAAAAGTTGATAATTAACGCCCTGCATACGTTCTACTGTTATAAATGCCTCCTCTCATTTCTGAGAAGGTATTTGTGTGTTTGCAAATGTCTCAACCGGAGACAACTCAGAAGTCATCTGCACCTATGGCCTATAAATAATTGTTCAGAGTTTGGATGTTTGTCCTTGTGCAATTTATGTATGTAAACTACCTCTACGATACAGGAGAAAATCCTAGTGAGGGGGTAACGTTTTTCTAAAAACCAAAAAAAAAAAACAACCAAAACCTCTATGTTAAATCATATTTTTATTTCTATTCTTATTTTTCTTTTCTATCAGACTAACAGTCCACTGCTGAATATGTACTTATGGGAGTATTTGCCGCAATCAACACGCTATTCGGTATAATCTACAGTCCACAACACGCTTGGCAGAGATATTGCCGATCGATGAACCAAATATCTGACACCTCTGGCACTGTTACTCATAACAGATCTGGATATTTCACATCTATCTTACACAGCTGGTGATGGAACCAGGGTTGGCTGATTTAAATCAGACTGATTTAAATCATGATTTAAATCACGATTTAAATCGCTTGATTTTGATTAAAAAAATCATTGATTTAAATCATCAAATTAATGTAATAAGCAGAAATCGAAATAATACTGGCTTAACATAAGGTAAAATCTTTTATTGTTTTATGTTATTCTTATTATTCTACTAGAATAGTCTCATAAACTTTGGAAAATCAACAAAGACGTAGTGGTGACGTCTGTCAGTCTCATAAAGTTAGTAAAATCAACCAAAAATTTTTTTTGAAATTCTCCCTTAAGATATGAACTGTAATTAATACAGTATTAATTATTTTATTCATACATATGTATTCATAAACTTTTAATCCTACTACGTCAAAAAGTGTTACCAACTCGTGAATTTCAAAATATACAATAAAAATCAAAAAAGTCAAAAAATTCAAATAAATCATGATTTTTTTTAAAAAATCAGCATGATTTGATTAAAATTAAAAAAATCATGATTTTTTCCATCCCTGGATGGAACCTCTATCTATCGGAGGCCAAGTAATTTTTTTTTGGCCTTTTTTCTAGTCGCCTCTTACGGCCCCAGTGGAACGAAATGGAGTAGCGGATTCTCTCACTACGCCACCACATGGCTACTACAATTGTATAAAATTTATACTTATCTATTTTTTTTCATTGTTTAGAGATAGGTTAACAAACAGTCAATCTTTTGAAAAGTTTACTAACACCTATTCATCTATTCTCAATAATATATTTCTTTATTAGACTATTTTATCGATTGGTGGATAAAGTTCTACTCAAGAATGCGCAAACTGACATGCATAACTTATATAGTACGAGTATATATATGAAATTTGGGTTCAAACTTCGATATATTGGATTGGTTAAACTGCTATATATCTGCCGAGGAGGCCTCGTTTCGTAAGCGGTGTGTACTTTTGCCTGAAGTGAGGAGCCATAGGATAAGTTGGAGTATACACACCAAGATAATAGACACACGAAAGTGTGTCAGCCAAAAAGCGGAAAAGGGCGACGTACCGGCAGTGTGTTACACGAACACTTTCGACGTCCTATAACTCAGAATGTAATAGACCTACATACACACTTGTATTCATTATTTTTGACGTTATACTTCTTTTGGGGCGTTTGGGAAAAATTATGAGAGTGAATTTTTATGAAGCGCGCGCACACCGCCACCTAAAAACGACACCATGAAGTTGTTACGTTGTGCACGTACTCTGACACCTAAAAGCGACAACTTCAGTGGGTAACTGTATCACAAGTTTTTTTTTTATTTTGTTATGCTAAAGAAGTATAACTTCCTACGTGCGTACAGTACACACGCACACACTTTTTTATTTTTAGTCGTTATTAGGAAGACGCTGCAGCTCGTCTCCTGATTTATGTCCCTCTGTTGCCTCTTATGATAACCACGAGAAGATATGGGAAGTGGATATTCTTATACCGCCACGTAAAGTTCGCCAACACGTATTGGGGCAGCGTGGCGGACATTTCCTTACCCTGGCCTGTAACCAGCAGTGGGACGTATATAGGCTGTAACAGTCAACGCTACGTCGTATATTTAATGTTAGCTCGTAAAATATTCAAAAGTTAATTCGGTTCACTATGAATCACAGTACAATCAGTAGGAGGACGCCTACACAAATTGACGCTACGATTTCGTTTACGTTGTTTATTAACTGGAATTGAAATTAGATCAAATAGATTTAAATGACTTGGAAGTTTTAAGTTTTAGCTGTTAGAATTATTGTAATTTTGAAACCCGCTAGTAATCCTGTCTATTACTTTGGTCTTTAGCCGTAGATAATAACCAGTTGAAATTTGATGCTATCAGGAGAAAATGTCAAAAATCATGGAAGTAGGTGTGTATTAAACCAAAATTATAAGGATTAATAAAGGTTCTTATTTGTCTAAAGTGAAATGCGTCATAGTCTTTTCTATACTGGACATCTTGCTAACTAACCGAAACAATGCAGTGGATTCACTGCTGCTTGGCGTTAGAAATAGTTAACATAATGGTACTAATGCAGGAGGAACGGATATTTTTTTGAAAGTGATAAAAACGAGCATGCAGGTCGTAAGTCGATTTCGATAGGCTTACAGCATCTACTTATCGTTGTATGTGTTAGGACTGTGGTGATTTGTCACATTTGCTAATATATAAAATAGATGCTGCTTGTTGCCCATAGACACCTACATCTATTTTCGATTAAAAATGAAAAAAAATATTGGTAAATCCGATTGTGCATGCCTTAAGCGCATTAAAAAATACGTATAACATGATGATACCTAACATTTTTAAATACACTCAAGTTTTCACTAATAACCTTATTACTATACTTCCAATTTTCCGATAATTTTATGTCAACTTCGATTAAAAAAAAGTTTGGTAAATCCAAAAGTGCACGACTCATAATGCTCATATGATAATGAAAGAAAAAAAAGTAAATTGTAGTTCTATTCGTCAAAGAGTTAGTAGTCACCGAAGTACACTTTCAAGTCACTCCGTCAAGTCCGGAGGTAAGGTCTCAACATAACTAACAAAATGAGCCCAAACTCGGCACACCTAGTTCTACTCTTCGAGGAGTACCAGTAGCAGTCATAGAAGTATACCTTCAAATCCGGAGATCACTCTATCAAGTCCAGAGGTAGAGGCGGATTAAATATCGACTACGCCCTAGGCTATATTGTACCGTGTAGTGGTTGTGTAAGAATATCCACTACCTCATATCATCCCGAGGACAGAGGGAAAATGAAACAGGAGATGGGCAGAAGCATCTTCCTGATAAGAACTCAAAACTAAAACTGCGGTTGCCAACCCGCTTGCCAAGCGTGGCGACTATGGCAAAATCCCCTTACGGGGCAATTTATATGGGAGGCCTATGTTCAACTGTGGACTTTTATAGACTGTAATGGATGGATGGATTTTTTGTAAAATAATAAATTGTACCAAATAAATTAATTTAAGAATTACAGTATGATATGATGAATATTTATTCCACGTTTTGTCGCAGACTAAAAATATCGTGGTACATCCTTTAACCATATTCTGCAAAACTCACACATAACAACGTTAACAGTGTATGAACAGGCTAATAAATCTAATAGAGAGCAAGTCTGTTAGGTACTCGCAGTTACAATTTAGGTCACAATGGATTACAAATTCAGTAGGCGGCCGCCTACTTATACTTCCGTTCGCTGGCTTTACGTTTGCTTTTATAATTCATTCATTGATACTATTTCCTTGAATTTATTTAAGATCAATATCACATCTTTTTTCAGATGTGATTTTTGAAAGAAGATGTAGTGACAAAAATTGAGAAAGGTATGCTGAGATGGTTTGGCCATGTCGATAATGAATGAAGAACGATTGACGAAAAAAGTGTATAAGGCGAGTGTGAATGAAAGTGTTGGAAGGGGTAGACCTAGGCGGACGTTTCTAGACCAAATCAGGGACGTCTTGGAAAAAGGCCAGGTCAAGAGTACCCTAAACCGAAGAGCATGTATGAAGGGAATAATGAAACTGGACGAAGCGAAACAAGTATGTAAGAATCGTAGCAAGTGGAAAGAAGTGGTCTCTGCCTACCCCTACGGGAAAGAGGCGTGATTATATGTATGTATGTAAAAATCACTACATAATTATGTATTACAACCTAAATTAGAGCTTCTTAATGTTTAGTTTATGTAAAAACGCAAGTTTCATTTTACAATACGTGCTTTATGATTTGAAGCACATTGAATATGATCTCAAATTTGTCTGCTTGAAGATAATATTGGATCATCATATTATTATATTCATAAATTTTCACAAAAAAATATAATAAAAACAAAAGAACCAAACTCAACCTTACCCAACCGATTATGCGAGTTTTATGTGTATGTTACATCCAAATTTTGATATTATTACCTCATATTTTAGGTCATATCTATTTAAAAGTTCATTCGGCTATATTATTTGGTGCTGACGTCATATAATAGATATGTTGCTCGCAATTATGACAAATCGTTAGCGGTTACGGGCGGATATAGACAATTAGGTACATAAATTTTGTACTCGGCCGAAGTCACGTAAAAACAATACAATCGGGTTCTAGAAACCTTAAATCCTGGCGTCATGTTGAAATTGGACTTCTAAAATCAGACCCATCAATACAACATCCATTTACAAAATATAATATAATACACTAGCGACCCGCCCCGGTTTCGCACGGTTGCAATGTAGATACTAATATGGGGCAGTGTGGAGTGATTAATAATATTATGATTAGTCTGCACTACAGGATATCTTTGTATACAATATTTACAGCTGATTTTTCATGACGCGACATATAACTGGACGTGTGAGAAACACTCCGGAATTCCGTATGTATGTGACGGGCCTTACACAACAATAACAATAATAGACCTCCCAAGTACAGTACCAAGGACGCTGGCTGC